AGTAAACAATGCCCACTCCTGCTTCGGGCTCCCTCCTCAGTTGCCACCTCAATAATCAGTAGTCCGAACACAAATCTGAAGTTCTATCTCAATGTGCCACGTGGCACGTCAACTGTCATCATCAGCGAGCTGGAGCAATGTCGACATCGAAAGACCAGGTACGTATCTACAATCGCCCCACAGTCTTGATCTCCTTCCGAGTGACGATGAATCAGAACAGCAAGATCAGACACGTAGCCTGCCACATCAGCAAGAGTACATGTGGCAGCAGGCACGTCAGCGGCGGCGCATGGCAGCTGCCATGTCAGCATGCCCAGAAGACAATTGCCAGCCAGCCACCATGCCGAGCCAGCAGCACGTCGCCGTAGTTGCTCAAGTGCCAGCGTCCCAGCCAGTATCGCAGCGTCGTACTAACGTCGAAGTCAACGCGTGAAGTCAACATTGACGCCAGACAGAATGTTCTCTCAGCCAGGTAGTCCAGGCTTATGTAGCGATAATGCGGGGTCTGGACCCCAGTTGCTGCTTCCCTAGGCCGTCGAGATCTCAAGACAAATGGCGGCCCAGATTTGCCTGAAACCGAACTCCCTGTGGTTTTGATGCTGTCCGGGTACCTGCGCACAACAAGTGAATGTATCCGACCAAGGGCCTTGGCGTGGTACCTTTGACAGTTGACTTAGACTTTTGACTTTCCGAAGCAGTGCGTGGTCACACTGCCCGACTCAGGCCGAGTTTGGCCTGAGTCGTCTGGGGTCCATTTCGAGGGCCCGGACTGCTGCAAAACACGGGTTACTGCATAGTTTCCACATTGACTGTATGTTAATCAGTCAATCAATCTTCCAATCATGATTGATTGGAAGATTGATTGGCTGATGAACCTACAATCGATCTGGAAGCTAGGTCATTGATTGGAAAGATTGATTGGCTGATGAACATATAGTCGATCTGGATGCTACTTGCAAGCCATGGAGCAGCTCACACCAATTCTCCTCGAGAGGAATTTCAGTCGAGATCATCCACCTCACCATCAGATAAGTTTGATTGGAATCGCGAAATGAATATTCCAATCAATCATTCTTCCATTCCATCTTGAGATCAATCACCCGCAGCGATTGTACATTCGTCATCAGCCAGACAAAACTTCATCATGTACTGTTGCATACCGTAAAGGTGCAGACCAGAACGAGAACCGACCTCTCTCACAAAGTACAAGATAGCACATCAGATAGTTCTCATCATACTGCTAACACCCAATAGTCACCACAATGCCTTCCTGGCCACTATGCCTTCTTGGCGATACCCCTCTCCACCTGGGTCACCTGCTTGCCTTCGCCCTCCTCACTACACACTTCCCACGGCCGCTCACCCAGCAGACCACGTGCATGTACCGTATAGGCAGAAAACAAGCGCCAGATTAGCGCACCGTACCACAACTCTGATACCAAATTGCAAGGAAAATGAGCGATAGCGAACACCGAAAACCAAGCCGCATCACAACCAGCTAGTCAAACACCAGGTATGTCTCTCGCATCACTCACAACCTCGATCCCCCACTCACAGATGCTACGTGCACCAAAGGACCACCATGCGCCCCATCCAGCTCAGCGCAGCTCGGCTTATGGCTGCCTGCTCTCCCTGCTTGCCACTGACCGCATGGGCCTGGCCCGCGATTAGCGCAGCAGCGCTTGCACAGCATGTAGCCAGTGCCCGAATGCCAAATGCTGAGGCAGGCACTTTCCTAAATGGAAGTGGCCTGCCTGCTGCTTGCGGCCTGGCTGCACTGGGCCCCGGCCCAGAAGCTTCCGGTAGGCCCCGAGAGGCTGAGCCTCGGTCCAAACGAATCAGGCCCAGGGCCTGTGGCGGTTACTTGTGCCCAACTGCCCGCAGCCTGTGTTTAGTCCATGCTGCGTATCTGGCCCAGGGCCTGCCTCAGTTACATATGATAAAGGCAGCCTGGGCCTGGGCGCTTTCAACCAACTGGCGCTACTCAACTGCCTGAATTCCCCCAGTTGCGTGGTAGTCCAAAATAGGCCTCTTCGCCTAGGTCGGGCGGCCGACACTTCTGATAACAGGCCGAGTAGGGCTCACAGAGAATAAAAAGAAACATCATATTATTAAATTACTATGTTATAGGCTTATGGCACATATTGTCATATTTATAATATAAACCCACATACCTCTCCAGTTAAATCCTCCTCTCAGCCCGTCGCCTCCGCATTTCCCGAACTTTGTGTCTAAAATTAGATGCGTGGCAACACCAAGTCCACGGATGCCTTTCCTACACGTGCTCCTTGCATTTCTTTTTCTTTCCCCCCCACAAAATAAGCTCTTTCATTGTGCTGGGAATCGAGCACAAAATCCCTTCTGTCTAGGGACAGCGAAGGATGACAATGGAATTAAGGGAAATGAAATTTGGAAAGTTTGAAGGTTGAAAACTTCCTTTGACGTCCCTAAGGAAAATACACGTAACCTTTGCTCTCCGAGCTGGCAGAAGAAATGCCTGCTATGAGTTGTCTCTCCCCTGCGAAGTCCCAAAAACGGACTACTAAAATGGGAAAACAAACAGATTTTTGTTTGCCTTCTGTTCCATTTTCGTTGTTCCTGCCCTTTCTTTTATCTCTAACCGGGTAGGTCCTACCCGTCTTCCCCCAAAACACAATGCACCCTGATAATGAATGTATACAAGCCATCTTTCCGATGTCGTACAGCGATAATGAGGGTGGGTTGTGTTGGGAGAAGACGGTAGCATTATTTTATCATCTGATCCCATCTGGGTTCGAACTCGTCACCTCTTTACTAACAGTACTAACAGCTACACGTGTGTAGCATTCACCCACAGGGGCTGGGCGGGCTGGAGAAAAAGCAAACAAAATTTCCCTCGGTGGGACTTTCCCGCAGGATGAACAAGGAAGACCCGTCGGTGATGTCCCACTTACCCGGGGCCAAGTATAACTGGTAAGGAGGATTGGATATTAGGCCTGATGTTGTGAGGAAGTGCAGGAAACCACGATTGATCTGCTTTTCTGCATTCTCTGGCAAAAACCAATCTAGACTCAGGCACTAAATCCAGTCCTCTTTGCTACGGTACTGGGGCCTTGCTCTCGGATCCATCATTATGCCCATCGATCTTCGCTATCCATGGTCAGAAATGGGCAATCTCGGGGTGCAGTGCCACTACGTAGCAAAGTGGGTTGAATTAAGCGCCTGAATCTGGACGTGTTTGTCACGAGGTGCAGAAATTCGCAATTGATCTGCTTTTCTGAATCTCCGCATAAAAGACGTCCCAATTCAGACGCTTGATCTAATCCTCTGTGCTAGTGCAAAAGCGCCATGGGGGCCAAGTGCAGTCCCACTTGTCTGATTCCTCCCTAAAAATCCAAGCCATAGATTGCAAAGCCCAATGACCAGGAACACTGAAAATTCGGGCAAGCAGGGCCTTGCCCATGAGGCAGCGGCCTCTGGAATGCAGGAGGCGCCTTACCGTAGTGTATAGGAGGGGTAGGACAGCAAAAACTACTTATAAACTAGGCAGCAGATCCGGATATCTGACGGACCAGTTTTATCTGGAATTTTCAATCCGGATGAAATTTCCGGATTAGTTCCGGATATTGAAATCCGGCCCTGCACGAAATGCTTTTTTTTAACCAAAAACAAGAAAAATCGAAAAAATCTGGAAAAAAAGTATGTTGTTCATATCAATGATACGAACAACTTTTGGCTTGAGGCCATCTTTGATATTTCAACAGATAAAACAGAAAAAGAAAATAATATTTAGATACGATATTATAAAATGAATTGATCATCCCCTGCAAGGAATATGAGCGAGAGAGATATACAGAAAACCAAGTTGCAAAATCATGCAGAAGTCCAAATAGTCATGTACAAGCAGAGAGCTGAAATGCACCAAGATTCCATCCAAATAAGAGCAATACAATGAGCTCGTGAGCCAATGTTCAAGCCCTCAGCCCACACAACCGCAGTATTCAATGTCGCTCCTCTCTGTCTGGCGCCCAGCGCCCCGCCTACTCTACTTGCCTATCTAGCCTAACTACTCCTCCGCCAGCCATCTCTCCCAACTCTAGTATCTACCTCCTACTAGCGCCCAGCGCTGAAGACTATGGCTATGGTTACTAGCGCCCAGCGCTGAAGACTACTGCTAGCGCTAAGCTACTCCCTTGCAGCGCTTCTCCTGAGTGATGCACTGAATCCTGAAGACTACTCGTGCCTACTGCCCAACTACCTACCCGTGAAGTGCATGGGACTCCCTATGTACTACACGGCCTGCCTCCTGACTGCAGGCGAGGCAGTCCAGGAGGC